CACGTGGCCCTAGAAAAGCACGTAGGAAATGTCTTAGGGAAGCAGCTAATTCCCAGGTCACACAGATTAACTCGTCCAACTGAAGAGTTGGCAGTGGCACTACACAGTGTCGCATAGGCCAGTGTTGGCCGTGTGTGTCTGACTGAACCCTACAGACTTCACAGATCAGAGAATCCCCTGACAACCATACCTCAGGACAACCATTTCAGACCATAAAAAAAAAAGCAGAGAAGCATCTTCCTGTTCTTTTAGCTTAAGTCTTGTAAATTTATACCCACTGCTAATATCATTCCTTTTCATCAATTCACCAGATATGCATTAAGTGTTTATTATGTGCCCAGCACCATCCTAACTAAAGCAGTGAACAGAGGCAGGGAAAATGGAAAGGAGGCTATAACCACAAATCAGAAAAGAGATGATGGTAGTGATGACCCAAGTGGTTCCAGTGGAGGGTCTGGCAACTGGTTGGAACCAGATTATGCCATAAAAATCTTTCTAAAGTCAAAACAATATATAGGCATATGCTAGGGTAGAGGCACAATGATTAATCATCTAACAGGGTTTACAAGATCAGTGAAAGATCCTGGTCAAGGACAATCAAAACAATATTAAGAGCATCTTTTATCCATAACAATATGAATGAAGAGGAGAGAAAGTTATCGTAATGAAGGCTTAAGTCCTATGAATGGAGATTTAAAATAATATATTACTGTTCATAGTCCAGAAATCAATTAAAATTAAACTTGATCGGATTGGTCATTGTGCTTATTTCCTGTTTTGACAATGAGGTTCCTTTTTTTAATTCAAGTTCATAAACTATTTTGAAATGCATGACAATTATTTCCAGAATGCAGAACTGCTTAAAGGTCATAAGTATTATTCCAAAGAGTTACTGAGTGTCCAGCAGAAAAGAAAGAGGAAACAGTTTCCCAATTATTGGTGCCATAGGCATATGGTTGTCTATTGGTCAGAGTGGGAGAAGGGTGGTGTTTAAGTTATGATTCATTATAGAATTTTAAAAAGCTATCTACTAATCAAATTGCAGAACAAGGGAAAGGGCCTAGAGCAGAAACCTAGTCCACTGACCACTGAATAAAACCCTGATGAAGTAGTCCAGAACACCAGTTTTTTAAACACTTTTCTGAAGGTGAATAAGAAACATGTGGCCTTTCACTACCAAAACCTGGCTGATGAAAATGATGTTGGCTCCATGAGGACTGGCTTTGCCATCTTTCTCATTGCTGTATGCCTGGCACAATGCCTGGCATATAGCACATCTTCAGTAAACATTAACTAAAGGAATACATGGCCGAATCTTCTTTGACATCATTCTATCACTTTATGGAATGAATATTACAAATGAAGAACAATGCATAGTGATTTTATAATAGGTATCAGGCCCTGAGGTCAGCCAGACCTGAATTCACCCCTCACTCTGTCATCACATGGGCTATAGAGCCTGGTCAGTTTCTCTTAGCCTCTCTATATCTCAGTTTATTTATCAGTAATATCAGGGTAATAATAACAACCTCTTGGGCTTATTATGATGATTATCTAAGACTAGAGGCCCAGTGCACGAAATTCATGCACAGGAGGGCGGGGGGAGGGGGTTCCTCAGCCTGGCCTGCACTCTCTCACAATCCAGGATCCCTGCAGGATCTGGCCTAAACTGCCTAACCTGGCAGTTGGACATCCCTCTCGCAATCTGGGACCACTGGCTCCTAACTGCTTACCTGCCTGACTGCCTGATAGCCCCTAACCACTCTGCCTGCCTGCCTGATCACCCCTAACTGCTCGCCTGCCTGCTTGATCGCCCCTAACCACCTATGCCTTGGCCCCCACTACCGCGGCTTGGTCTGGAATGACATCCAAAATGACATCTGGAAGGTCATTTGGCTGTCTAATTAGCATATTATGCTTTTATTATTATAGATAATGCATGGAAAGAAATTAACCCAGTGCTCCATAATTTTATTAACTTACTATTGACACTAAAATGGCATTTAAAATCATCAAAATGAGTTTTATAAAGATGGCATCTTTATAAACTTGTATTTTTCTTTTGTTATGGAAATTTCCAAATTATATATATATATATATACAAATAGAAAGCATAATGAACTTCCATGTACTCAATACCCAGTTTCAACAATTATCAGCTCACAGCCCACTTCCCCAACCTCTTAGTTTTGAAGCAAATCCCAATCATTCATATTATCTGTAATACTTCAATATGCATCTCTAAAAATAACAACAAAAAGTTATAACCCAAATCCCATATCACACTTAAAAATAATCAATAATAAACCATTAATTAGATGAATTATTGGCCCACTGGAAGCCACAAGGAGAAAAGAGGAAGAGAATAAAGTCTGTCCAAGGCCAAAGTTTAGGCAAGTTCTCTCCAAACCAACACAATGGAGGAATCCACTCTCACTGTCAAGGTGGACTCTTCCTACTGAGGGTTGGGGAGGGGAGAGGGGAAGAGGGGTTGGGGAGGAGAAGGGACAGAGCGGGACAGCTAGGGAATGAGTTTGAAGCCAGCATTTCATGGCTGGACCAAAGAAGAGCAGGGGTCTCCCATTTTCTTTAATGTTTTTACTTCCCAAAGCAAATGTCATTTCACTTGAAACATGTCGAGTAACACTCCCTCCACGTTCTGCGTGGAGTAGGGTTCGGTATCTGAAAGAGGAGCCGCACAACAAATGAGAGAGAAATGACACGAGATAATTTTGCAATATTGGAGGACCAGGCAGACAAGTCCTGAAGGACTTCCACCCACGCTCAGGCTGCTCCAATCTTTTATTGAGCTTGGAGTAGCCTTAGGTAAGGAGGTTTCAATGACACACAGATCAGCAGACAATTTCCAGGAATAGACAAAGTATCTGATTAGCTCATCAGTAGATGATTTCCAGGAATAGGCAGAGTATCTGATTAACAATAATCAACAAGGATCTACATAAGTATCTAAGGAATTAAGTGAACTAAGGTGGGGATGATGCTTCAACTATTATTACCTAAATTAACTGGGTGGTTCCTAGATTAACTGGGTGGTGCACAGTCCTGACCTTTGCTCAGACTTCAAAGGTTACTAGCTTTTGGGGGTCTCTGTCTAAACTCAGCTAGTGAAGACAATGAATGGACTCCGGCAGAAACAATTCTGTAAAATCCTTCTGCTTCCAAATTGGTAGAAGTTTAGAATTTAATTTTATCTTTTCATCTACTTTGAGGCATTGCTGTCAGTGTTGGCTTTTAATGCAGGTATGATATCACACAGTTAGAGAGCTCACTGAATGCTCACAGAACTGGTTAGGTTTCTGAAATTTAACATAGCATAAAAGTTCACACATTTGAGAGAATTCAGGTTTTAATATAGTCTATGCTTTCTTCCCTTTCCCTCCTAATTTCCCTTTATTTGTTCTACAAAGTCAGTAACCCAGCAGAAACCCCAATTTTATTCTCGGCTGCTCTGCTTTTTAAACTTTGAATTCAAATATTTTTCTTTGTTTCTTAACTGGAATTTGGAGCAATTTGATTGCTTCAAAACAAGAGATATAAAAAAATACTGCAAACTCACATAATCATCCCCCCTTTAAATACCAACATTTTTGCAAAGTCTAGAGTTCAGAGGGTAATGTCAGCAAGTGAGCGAAGGCTGATGCTGAGAAGGCTAGAAGACAAGGCGCACCAAGAAGGTGCAAAGGGAATGAATCTATTATGTGATGCAAATTCCCTTTTTGGAGAGCTAAGTTAGCTTATAAGCAATAGAAATTTAACTTGGAGAAGGAGACAAGGAGTGTAGATTCAGAAGTGTGACAGTTTGGAAGCACTGGAAAAACTGGTGTTACCCCAATCAGTAACAGTGTGATCCTCACACTAGAGGCCCAATGCACAAATTCGTGCATAGGTGGGGTCTGGCTGGCCCAGCCCAATGGGGGCCGTCAGGCTGGGCCAGTGTGGGGGGAGGGGACACGGGAGGTTGGTCAGCTGGCCCCACCCCCGATTGGGGTAAGGGGGGCTGACTGGGGCCGGGCCGGCCATGGGAGAGGGGGTGGCATTGGAGGTCAGTCGGCCCTGCCCCTGATCAGGGTGGAGGGGGCCGATTGGGGCCAGCCATGGGGAGGGGCCGCAGGTGGTTGTGGGGGCCGATCAGGCCAGTTGGCCACTGCAGTGTATGTCATAGCAACCGGTCACTTGGCTTTTATATATAGAGAGACTGCAGTGTCTGCTTTCTCTTTTAGAAGTTGGCTTTGGGAAGGTAGGGGCTGCAGCCTTGCTTCTGAGAACAATGCTTAGCACATGACAGTGCAGTAAATACACGTTAAATTATTGAATGAATGAAAGAACAGACGAATGAATGAGTACTGCTCAGCAACCATCACTATTACTTACTAAACAGACCATTCCACCAAGAACTTGAGACTACATAAAAGGAAAAGGAAGCCAGAATATATTTCCTACTTTAAGCCTCTTAAAAAAAAAAAACACCTTTGACTTTTTTGTGCTTTAATGTACAGTTTTAGTGTCTCTAAAAACATGTGATAAAAATTGTTTGGGCAAGAAAGATGACATAATAAACCATGTCCAAGGAGCAGATAACCTAGTTCAATCAAATTTCCAAAAAGATATGAAAAAGATCTAATGTAGCTCAAAATGATTTCTCCAGATTCACTTTTAAAGACTCATTCGGTTTGACTTACTCAGAAATCACTCAAAATATCAGATTCATAAGAACAGAGGTTGGGAATAGAAAGGAACAGGCATTACTTGAGTGGGGATCAGACCAATGAGTATGGCAGGGAGCGCGGCAGGAAGCGCTGCAGGGAGCCAGAGGGTGTGGAAGGTACAAGATGTACCAAGAAGTTTACTCAGAGAGCTCCCAATAAGGGAGGAAAAGGAAAAACAATCGGAGACCCACTGCCAGGGGCTCTGATAGCTACAACTGCCAAGCACGTCACTCAAAATCACGCCCACTATAAGCCTCTTTGCCTCCAGGGCCCAAGTTCCTTTAAGATTTCATGAGTTGCTCCATTCACTCACCTGCGAGCACCTTGCACAATTCCTGCCCTACCCTGCCCTCCAGTCTGCCAATCCTCAGTGATTTTTTTCCCTTTCCACAGTTAATGAAGCTCAATCCCTACAAAATTGAGCTTCCACATCAAAGTGACTTACAGCAAATATGTTTTGAAGCAATTCTTCACTTGCATAATTTCCCTAATAAAATGCATTCACGGAACCACTGTTAAACTCAGAAGAGGGTGCTCTGCATGAGGATTCCAATTTCCTCTTCTGATCAGAGCTGTGCTCTCATTCAGGGGATCACTGGTTGCCTGACCAGTCACACGCGCAACCATGACGCCTAAACATTGCCTTCTAGGCTTCCTCGTCACTCTCTTCCTGACTGGTGCTGCAGGTAAGTGCTTCATTTCTTTCTAATTGCTCACGGTTTTGTCATCTGAGTGTGCGGAGGGATTGTTAGAAATGGCAATGCTGCTTTTCCGGGCTTTGTAAAAATTCCAGCTTTCTTCTGTCTTGAAATAATCAGAACAGATGTGGAGTCAGTTTTTATCTGCAACCTGAATAACTAACTCCACGTGGACTTATTGAGTAGCTACTCTAGTGGGTGCAAAATTCATACAGGACCAACGCACATACACCTCTGTCTCCTTAGCATTTCTTTTGCCTTCAGGGGACATGACAGCTTAGTGGGTAGAAAAAGTCTTCTAATCCAGATTGTCCGAGTCTGGATTTCAGCTCTGCCATTTACTCTTTAGGAAGACTTGGGCAATTGACTTCATGTTCCCGTGCCTCAATGTCTTCATCTGTAGAATGGGAATTGTACGTATTGCGAGGATTAAATGAATTAATATATGCCAAGTGCTTGGAGCAATGCCTGGCACAGAATAGAGACAGTAAAGAACATGTGCGAATTTGCTCTCGGGATTCACAGAGAGCTCTTCCAGAGCAGAGACCATCATCACCCCAACATACCTCTGAGCAAGGCCATTAGGACCCCCAGTTAACAGATAGGTACCTTCAATGTGAGTGACTCAAGTAAGTTTCCCAAAACTACACAGTTGCCCAGTGACTGATTATATAAAAACAGTTCAAGCCTCCATCTCCTAGAAATGTGTGCAATTGTGTAGATTATGCCTTTGGTCCTTGTAACACCAAGGACTAACTTAGCAAAGTATGGCAGGAATTCAGTGCTACCCATATGATCCTAGTTCTGCATCTTACTGGGTCTGTAACCTTGGGCAAGATAGGCAACTTCTTTAAGTCTCAGCTTCCCTATTGTAAATACAGCAATAAAAATACCTGCTTCATTTAGTGATTTGGGAATGAAATAAGATGTAAAGCTTTGAGCACCGTCTGTGCCTGATACATGTTTAATGTTCATAGCCATTCATGTTCAATGAATGTCAGCTGGGAAGAGGAAAGGGAGGAGGAGGAGGAGGAATATCTCCAGCCTGTCATTGTTTGGTTTTCTCCATTAGCTCTTCTCTCCCGAGGCTTTGTACTTGGTTTTCCGTGGTGACAGGCAGGCTCTGGAGTTTGCTGCTACACAAGTTCCTTCTGCTCAACAAGGCTTAGTTTTAAGTCTGTGAGAGGAAGATGACAATAGTTCATTTTTCATAGAAAAGCTGGGCAGATTAAATGAGATAAAAGCCCCTGAGTGTCTGGTACAGAGTGATTTGCTATTATTTTGATGACTGTCTTACAAAAATTAGAGAAGAAATCCGTAGACAGATAAGGGATCCTGAATCATCTATCTTTAGGGCAGCAAATCAACTCTAGGCAAGGGCTTCAGGACTCTGTGCCTGTCATCTCCCAAAAACTCAGGGGAGTTTTATGTACTAAATATGAGTGATTATGCAGCATTTTAGTGAGCAAAATTAATGGTGGCAATAGATTCTTTCCAAGTACACACCACCATGTGATGCACTGAAGGAGGTCAAAAAATAAAAACGCCCTCTCCCCCTTAATAAGAGTATTAACACTATTTGGGTGGTAAAAATAAACAAACATTAGAAAATAACACATCTTGAATGTTCAGAGCTGAGATTATGGGTTTAGGATTACTTGCTTCCACCTCAATGATATTTGAGCAAAGACTTGATGTATGTGGAAATCCAGGGAGGAGCATTCAGGAAAAGGGAAGAACCTTCAGTAGGGAATACACCCACAGGTGGAGCAGGAGAAAGAAAATGAAGTCAGGGAAAACAGGGGCTATGCTTCCTGACTCCTCCATCTGCCCAACTTCCTAGCCCAGTGGTTGGCAAACTCATTAGTCAACAGAGCCAAATATCAACAGTACAACAATTGAAATTTCTTTCGAGAGCCAAATTTTTTAAACTTAAACTATATAGATAGAAACTACAACCAACCAACAACCCCCACTTCTTCTAACACCACTTCTTCAAAATAGACGGACCCAGGTCAAAAACCGACTTCTGCACATGGGCCACAAAGTTTCAATCGCACTGTACGTGCGCACCCGCACGTGGTATTTTGTGGAAGGGCCACGCTCAAGGGGCCAAAGAGCTGCATGTGGCTCGCGAGCTGCAGTTTGCCGACTACTGTCCTAGCCCTTTTCAGAAACCTTGAACCTGCCCAGGAGGTGAAGCTCTACCTCTGCCCATCTTAGGTTCACAGCTAGGACTCTTTAATAGAAAGAAAGATTAACAAGAGAAAAACAGCTTATTAATGCATACAGAGCACATCACAAATGAGAAACCTAAACAGAGTAACTCAAAACGGTGGGTTAGAATTCGAGCTTATGTAGCATCTTCATCAAAAAATTTAAATAAAAATACATTTGTAGAGACATGGCAGGACAAATGAAAGCAATTTTAGGCTTGCAAGGGTGGGAAACTATGGAAAAGTAAATATATGAGAGGAAACTAATGGAATGCGATTTGTTGGCAGATTCTTCTGGTGCCATCTCTGGGCGGGTAAGAGTCAGTCTCGGTAAAAGAAGAATTTATATACTGCCTTTAGTCAGAAAAAGTTGGATGGGATGACACATTCTGGCTTTCTTCAGACTCTAGAATAAAATATTGTCAAAGGTCTCTTACCTCCATGGGACTAAGAACAGGTGAGACTGCACCACCCATGTCACATGACCTGAGGTGGAAAGTACAAGCCATGTCAGGGCAAAGTTATCCTTTCCTGCCATGATTGCTGTTGAGAGCCTTCTCGGGGACACTGGGCCCATGGCAGGGTCTTGGACGGTCTCCCTTCATAGCATGGGCCGGTTTAGCTGAGCACTTACACTTGAAGCCAGGACGCAGGCCAATCAGTGCAGACCTTCAGGAGTGGGATAGCAAAGCCGGCCTACCTGGAATATAGGTGGGCCCTCTGGGAGAGGTGGAGGACACTGAGGCAGGACCCAGAGATTGAGCAAGAACCTGAGAAAGGGAGAACTAAGTGCTGGGCTGAGGTCCTAGAGCCAAAATTGATCCAAGGCAAAATGTTCTATCAGAGGAGCCGTCATACAGGGCTCCTAAGAAGGTGGGAGAGTGGCCTTGGCATGGGTCTTTCATCTCAGTCCTTACATTCCATGACCCTCAGGGACGGGACTAAGGACAGTATTTTCCCACTGCTCTTTACTTCCTCTACGGTTTGGGAATGGGATGGGAGGATATCACTTAGGTGTTGATAGTCTGAAACACAATGGTCCTGCAACTTCAGCATGCATAAAAATCATCACATCGAGGATTCAACATGATGATTTCTGGGCTCCATTTCCATTATCTGCACTGACAGCAACTTCTTTAGGGAATTCCAACTCAGGTATGACATTAAAAACTACACTAATAACAATGGTGCTTGTATTAATGTTCAGTGTTTTCCCTTCTCTATTATTTTAGAAACTCACCCAGCCCATGAGACTTTGAAGCCTCAGAGAGTACATTTTCAGTCCCGGAACTTTCACAACGTTTTGCACTGGCAGCCTGGGAGGGCTTCTGCCAGCAGCAGCAGTATCTACTTTGTACAATATAAAATGTAAGTAATTTGAGCTTCCTCCAACTGATAGACATGGCCACTGGGAGAACATTTTCTAGAATGCAATGGAATTTAAGAATATGACCATTATTTCAGTGTCAGAGAGACTGAGAAAAAGCAGAGGTAAGGGACAGGATTGTCTTGTCTCCCCGGAAGGCCACCTGGTGACACAAAATGCATGATGTGGTGCAAAATGCTGGGGACATATGTCATCCCGTAAAAACCAGTACCACGACCTTGCAGGCACAGCCTTTGGCGTCACAGCAGTCTGGCACATAGTGGGCACTCAAATAACTATTTGTCAAGCGAGTGTTGGAAACAGCTTGCTTACCATACAGCAGTCACTTCACTAAGTTGACACTATTCATACTGAAAAAGAAGTTGTGGGTCACATGGAGGTCAGTGTGTAAAATATATTTTTAATGTAAAAGTCATTTTTTAGAGTGTGTTTACCACTTAGAAAATGCATTTCAAAAATTAATGACTCCTGTAAGCATGAAAATGAATTGGAACGCGCTGCTGCATGTTCCTCTCGTGTGAGCTTCAAGCTAGTTCTGCGGGATCGTTGCCAAACCTCAGATAGGATCAACTCCTTTCCTGGACCGAGGCCTGGAACAGAGGTTCCTGATTTGCAAATGGCAAGTTTTCCCACTCAAGCATTTCCTGGGGTATTTTTGAGGCTCTTTCCTCTCTTACATAGTCTGCAGTGCTGAGCGTGAGACAGGAAATATGACCCTTTATTCTGAAGGTTTTTCATCATAAATTTAGAAACCAGGTGTAGCTCTGGACCAAAATAACAATTTTTATTCCATAAATTCATGTCTCTCCAGCATGGAGTAGGTCCAAGGACCAATGTTTCCATTCATTAACCTCTCACTAACTTCAGAAGAAATATTTCTGGAATTTTATCAGTCTGTAACTACCGCAGCTTTTCTTACATTTGGGTAAAATTTACAAAGCTTTACTATAAAGATTCCTCCATTTCAAAAACAGATGCGTGCATAGCTGGAGATGCTTCCAGCATGTAGGGAATTGGGAGGAGTGTTCTTCTTGCCCTTCCTCCTTAGGCAATATAAACAGGTCCAAAGTGGGCCTATTTGTGGTCCAATATAAAAGGTGGGTTAGGAGTTGTTTTATCATGATACTAATGAAGGTTAAACTTAAAGGCAACATAGAAGAATTTTATATTTGTAACTCTTTTTCTTAACGAAGGCTCCCAAACGCGTATAAAATTCAGACTACCTGGATCCCTTCTTAGCTCTGTGGTATTTTCAACAGCACATGCAGATTTATATTTTTGAAATCATTCCTTTTGGTTCTATCCAGTTCATATGGGTCTATAATTGATATCTGTCCCATTTGGGGTAGGACAAAAAATAAGGTATCACATTAATAGAGAGGCCAGTCATTACAGCTAAACTCAGCGAGCAAAGACAATTTCTCATCAATAAGTAACAATTAAAAAACATTAAATCATGCTTAATCTATGATGTTGGTTCTTTTTGTTTATGGTATCTTCTGATACAGTGAAACTGCTGACATATAGTTTACAAAGTAAAGATATCAGCAATATTCCTCTGGCTAGAAAGTCACAGATTTCAAGTCCTTCAACAAATACGTTGAAGCCTTTCTCCTGGCCTCTAATTCGTGCTCTGCTCCCACTGTTATCTTATTGCATTTTCTCTGATTTATGACTGGTAAGGAAGTAAACACTGATCTTCCCCTTTGCTGTTACACCATCCCCTGGTCTCAGGATGAATCAGCCTATCTGTCTCTGCCTTGCTACCTTTTGAACAATTTTACGGGTACCCCTCTCTCTTTTCCAGCTCCTCCCATAGCACTCACTACAACCCTCCACTCTATTTCCAATAAAGAAATTGGTTCTATGTGTTGGGTAAGCATCACCTGAGATAAAAAGTAGTAGCAACTTCTCAGAATCAGCCACATTACTCAACAGCAAGCTGATGAGAAGTGAGGAAAACCACAGAGTTGAATCCTCAGAAGCATTAAGGATGTGGAGAGCCAGTTCTCAAAAATGAAAGTTGGTCCATAGACCACAAGAAAAACTTCACAAAGTATTTTTAATAAAACAAGCTCTAGGTTAGTGATACAGAAGGTGTCAGGCTTGAGTTTATGTTTTATCAAAAGAATACTTTGGTTGACAAGAAGAAATCTTTTTAAGGATACTTAAGAGTAGCCATAAGCCTTTATAGTAGTACTGATATTAGAGAACAATTTTCAACCAGTCTAAAATATTAACAGACTGAGAAAACTATGCACTCCTTCAACAGAAAGAAGACACTCAAATTTGTCTTTTCCCTTTTATAGCTACGGACAGAGACAATGGAAAAATAAAGAGGACTGTTGGGGTATTCCGGAACTATTCTGTGACCTTACCAATGAAACCGCAGATGTTCAGGAGGCTTATTACGGAAGGGTGAAGACGGCTGTGGCTGGGACCCACTCAGCCTGGACCATGACACGGCGGTTCACACCCTGGTGGGAAAGTGAGTCCATGGAGTTTCTTTGCATTTGCTTTTCCTGCCCTTGAGTAGCCTTCCTAGAGTATGTCTAGTTGCGAGGCCCTGTGCTTTGCAGAGGTCCACACCATCATCTCACTTGATCAAATACTCAGAACAACGCCAGAAGATGGTGGTCACTACCCTTACTTTACAGCCCAGAAAATCAAGGCACGGAGGCTTCAGTAGTTGCTCAGCCTGTATAACCAGATCAGGATTCAAATTCTGCTGCATCTGACTGCAGAGTCGACACTCTGTCGCTCTGCCAGATTGCTACCTCCTAGGTAATAATAATTTAAAAAAGAGTTTTAGATAGCAGAAAAGAGTTGTACCACTAGACCCCTCCTAATAATGGGGGTTAAATTCCTGAAAATACTCATTAGAAGAATTTTCTGTTGAGGAAATTAAGACTTTTGCTACCTCCCCAAAGGGGAGACAAAAAATTCGCTCTCTTACCCATATCTCCATGATGTATATTCTTTTTCTAAGGTAATCATAGTCTAAGAATAATATTATAATCAAATATGTAAATTATGAAATAAATCATTACCAACAGACCTTATATAAAAGAGTAGACAAAGGGGAAAGAAAAAAGAGTGTTTAATGCATATATACAAAGATATGCATAACAAAACAAGAAAGAAAATGTCACATAGTATAGTCCTCATAATTGCAACTAGTCATGAAGCTGTAGTTAATATTTTTGATTTCTTCTCTCACTGCTAATTCAATGTTCACTTTCTTTCCAGCCAGCAACTCAGCTCTTCAGTCATGAGGAGTTTGAGTTCTTTTGGTCTTTCTTGTATAAGCTGGACATAATCTTACATTCATTTTTTATCACAGAATAGAGAGTTCTAGGAGGCACCTCAAGGGATATCAGGCATACTTCTCCCTGACCCCGGTGTCAGTCCAGCCTTCGCAAGAGGAAGTCCATATGGTTGAGTCTATAGCCTCCATCCATTTCACACAACCATTTTATTCATGAGCCTATCAAGCAAGTATGGGACACTAGGGAAGTGGGCCTTCACTGCCTCCACCTAGATTTTTAAGCAGCTTTATTGAGATATAATTCACACCCCTTATAATGTGTACAATTCAATTTTTTTGTATATTCAAATATGTATAACCATCATCCACACTCAATTTTAGAACATTTTCACCATCTCAAAAAGAAATTCCATACACATTGGCTATCACCATCCTATTCCTCTACTTCTCCAGCCTTTCAGCCCTACGCAACCACTAATCTACTTCTGTCTCTACAAAGTACCTGTGCTTGGCATTTCATATAATATGTGGTCTTTGGTGAGTGGCCTCTTTCACTTAGCATAATGTTTTCAAGGTTCTTCTTATTGCATCATATTTTAGTACTTCCTGTCTTTTTGTGACAGAATCAGATTCTGGTATATGGATAGACCACACTTTGTTTATCCATTTCTCAGCTGATGAACATTTGAGTTGTTTTCCCCTGTTGGCCATTATGAATAGTGCTCCTATAGGAATTCATGTACCAGTTTTTGTGTAGACATGTTTTTATTTCTTTGTGGCACATACCTTAGGAATGGAATTGCTGGGTCACATAGTAACTCTATGTTTAATTATTTGAGGAACTGCCAGGCTGTTTTCCAAAGCAACTGTATCATTTTACAGTTCTCTCAGCAGTGTATGAGATTCTGATTTATCCACATTCTCAGAAACACTTACCTGACTTTTTTTTTATTACAAAACATGTGGAGAATGTGGAGAAATCAAAGCTCAAAAGTTCAAAATTTCATGGGATATTTTGAAAATGCATAGCACAAGTAAATGTGGTATGTGTTTCATTCATCTAGCAAGCCCAGCGAATGTTTCTTAGTAATAGGGGGTGAAAAGTAAAGCAACTTGTCTTTCACTTGAGAGGAAATGTCTCCAACAAACCGCAGAGGAAATTTAATGACAATGTTCTGCTTCTATGTATCTTACTAAAGCATCTAGAGTGCCTAGTACTTTAGGCACACCAAATGTAATCAGTATCACATGATCAATTTAGTGGACCAACAGGATATCCTGTGAAAAGATCAATGACTGTAGATTATTTGTGACAGACAGCCAGGATGACAATGAAAGTCAAGTCAGCCTGGCCGGTATGACTTATTGGTCAGGGCACATGCCCAGGTTGTGGGCTTGATCCCCAGTAGGGGGCATGCTGGAGACAGCCTATCAGTGATTCTCATCATTAATGTTTCTATCTCTCCCTCTCCCTTCCTCTCTGAAATCAATAAAAATAAAAATAAAACATTTTAGTGAAATGAAAGGAAGCCAAGTGAAAGAGAACTTTTCTGATACTTTCTAACTATTGGACAAAGGAAGGAAAAGAGTCATTCTCTAAAGCAGTAACTGTATATTAAAGGCTGTGTTGATTGGCTCCAGAACGGTTACTATAATGAGTCACACCATGGTCACCACCTGAGTGCATTTACCATTATCCCTTGACCGGAATCGAACCTGGGACCCTTCAATCCGCAAACCAAAGCTCTATCCACTGAGTCAAACCAGCTAGAGCCAAAGTGTTCTTTTGATGCACAAATCTCTGCTGTTTCCCCTGGGATACAATAGTACTTTTGATTTTCAATTTTGTTCAAAGGAGGAATTCCACTGGCTTCCATTTGGCCTTTCATCCCATAATAACTTTCATGCCACAGCTCAGAAAACCAAAATGGGCATTGATCCTGTCAGTTGGTATGTATATCTCACTGAATCTGCTTTTATTACCTGACAGCTACAAGAACCCATAGCACATTTTGAGTCCCCAAGGATTACTATCAGCTCAGACTCAGGGTCCATTATTGGCCAAATGGTCTGTACTGTACTTATCTTTCTCCAGTTTGCAGTTACCCTCAGGGAAGTATAAAAGATGTATCTTAAAACTTGCAGCATTATTACCTCACTTGCCTAATGATCTAACTGGTGCTATGTCCCATTGGAGCCAAACTAATTGGATCATGGCCAAAATGCTAGATGTTTAGAAAAAGGCATGTTTAATTTTCTAATTCTTCAACTATCAGGAGCAGAATGAGAACTAAGCAAACCGATCCATGGTATCCAGCACATCTTTTTTTGGAATAACTTGAAATTCAAGCCCAATCTACTGTACCAACAGTTCTCTATAAAAGAGCAGACTTGGGAAAGCCTTGCCATCAAAGAAGAGAAACATGTTTCAGTTTTGACTCAGTTAGGAATCAAGGGTTTCCCAGTTCAAAAAGGTCTGACATTCAAATATATTCAACGTTCATGTTTCAGTAAACATCAACTTGAGGTTGTACCAGGGTACAGAGCCAAATACTTAAACCAGAGTTCAAAAGTACTAGTGATGAAAGAAACAACTAATAAATAAGACTACACTAAAATTACAAACTTCTATTTTTAAAAATATACCATACCATTAAAGTGATGAAAAGGCAACCTACAGAGAGAAGATATAAGCAATGCACATATTTGACAAAGGATTATGTTTAGAATGTAAAAAGAACTCATACAAATTAATAACAAAAAGACAACAGATTAAAAATGGACAAGAAGTTTGATCAGACTCTTCATCAAAAATATCCAAATATGCAATTAACATTAAATTCCATTAGTCATCAGGAAATGTAATTTAAAAACACAAAGAATAAGTGCACACACTTACCAGAATGGCTAAAATTAAAAAATTTTGAGATAATAAAGCTAAGTGTTAGAGAGAATGTAAAGAACTGGAACTTTCATATACTGCTAAAGGGAATATAAATTGGTGTATCCATTGTGAAAACTGGCAACATATATCACCCAGCAAGTCTATTCTTAGTTATATTCCCAACAAAATGCGTATTTCCCCAATGACATGTACAAGAATACTCATAGCAACTTTACTCATAATATTAAAAAACTAGAAACAATCTAGTGAATAACACAATAAACTGTGATACTCATACAATTAAATACCACACAGCAACCAAAAGAACTACATATATATTATATTAATTATATTATATTATTACATTATTATATTAATTATATTTGCTAGGCCTGCCATAGCAAAATACCACAGACTTGGTGGCTTAAACAACAGACATTTATTTTCCCAAGTTCTGAAGATCAAGGTGTCAGAGGGTTGGTTTCTTCTGATACTTCTCCTTGGCTTATAGCTGGCTATCTTCTTGCTGTGTTTTCACATAGTCATCCCTCTATGCTTGCACATGTCCACATCTTCTGATAAGGACACCAGTCATTTTGGATTAGGGCCTATCCATACCATCCATGTAATTTCATTTTACCTTAATTTCCTCTTTAAAGTCATGCCATCCCCAACTACAGTCATATTCTGAGTTACTAGGGGTTAGGACTTCAATGCATGAATTTGCGGTTAACATAATTCAGTCCATAATTTTATATATGTATATAGTAAAAGAAGCCAGGCACACAAAAAAATATATATGATATGATTCTAAAAATCAATGTATATGTAAACAGAAGTCAGGAAAATAGTGGTTATCTTCTGGAATTAATTACTTAAAGGGAACATGGAGGCGGTTTCTGAGTGCTAGTAATGTCCTGTTTCTTGATCTGAGTGGTAGCTAGACAATTTGTTGAGCTGTACCTCGTGATTTATTTTTTGTCTATATCTATTTTATAGGTCAATAAAAAGTTTATTTAAAATTACAAAATTCAAACCAAATCAACAAAAAGAACGTATCAACTTTTAAATGTGTGCTCACAATAAAAGCACAAGGAAGCAGATGGACAGAAGCAAGTGTGGAAGCAACAAACACTGACCCATTCAGCACTTCAAGTATTGTAATATTGAAAGCAGCTAAAATAAGTTAAATGATATAACAAAGGGAATAAAAACATAATCAATAAACAAAACTTTAGAGTTCATTTTCCTAAACAATCACTGCATGTGGAAATGATTGATAAATGTACTCTTATAGCTGAAACAGAATCTATTAGTCTTTGAAAATAAAAAATTATCTTCAAAGATATTTCTCAGATATTTATATTTTAGGTATCAACAGTATCTCTTCATAATGATTTTTGCCAGATCTCTAAATTTAATAATTATTTATTATGCATAATGTATCCATGTGGAATATTATATTTTTTTAATGACTTATCAAAATTTCCTATTCTTTCTCCAGCAAAAATAGGTCCTCCAGGCATGAATATAACCCAAGTCAATGGATCCCTGTTGGTGATTCTCCATCCTCCAGAGATACCATATAGAAACCAAAAAGGAAAAAATGTATCAATGGAAAATTACTATGAGCTAGTATACCGAGTCTTTATAATTAACAACTCACTAGAAAAGGTAAGTTCAGATGAATAGATAAGTCTGTTTTTTTGTTGTTGTTCATTTGACTCACAATTCAGTCATAAAATATGTCTTCTCTCTTGTTATTCTATTCCTTTTCATTTTTCCTGAGATTTTTTTTTTAATTCCTTCACCCTTATTGATGAAGAATTAGTGCTTGGCATTAAATTAAGAATCTGTGGATGTGCATGTGTGTTTGTATCTTTTCAGTCACTCAACTTGTCTCCACTTGATCTTCCCTGCACATCTAAAGATTGGTATTAACAATATTTAATTCCATTTGACTGCCACAAATATTCATTTTTATGGACTTTGCAGATCTTGTTTTTAAGTGGCTTTTGAGTCAGAGCATTATATATTTGTGTCATTTTGCTATGATATTTTAATTCATTGTCAGTACCTTTATTTTGATTTGGTGGTTAATTGAATGTTCCTTCTTTTGGGTGGCCTTCTAAGACAGGGTTCCTTAAGTTCTAAGGAACAGAACCCCATTCAAACTGGTTAAGTAGAAAGTAGGTTAGTGGAGGGGAGGAGTTTAATTAGGAAATAGCAAACAATCTTAGGGACAGCCAGGAGCAAGAGTAAAGTGCTGCTCAGCTTTGTAATGGCTGGGAAGGAGAAATGGAGAAGCAAGTCTTCAAGAACCCTACTCTGCCTCTCTGTGGTCACATGTTGCATGTCTACAGCTGTCTCCAAATCTACTCAATTCTCCTCACTGCACAGTTTAAATTCTTGACAAAGAGACTGACCACTGGGTCAGTCAGCAGCCCTCACGTCGTACCTACACAGTCACTTGACCTGCCTTTGTATTAGGCTGTGTTCCCGGACTCTGGAGAAAGAGGCTGTGTCTAGGAAGAAACCCGACAGCCCATCTACTACTGTGACCAGGAACAACTTATTAATTGTATGAAAAATAGAGCAAACCAGTGACTTACTGAAAACCATTTATCATCTTTTCCCTTGTATATAGGAACGAAAGGTATATGAAGGAACTCACAGAGTGGTTGAAATTGAAGCTGTAACACCTCACACTGGTTACTGTGTAGTGGCTGAAATATATCAGCCCATGCTAGACAGAAGAAGTCAGAGAAGTGAAGAGAGATGTGTGAAATGTCCTTGAAGTGGTGTGGTGTGCTCTGCAACATGGAAATCAAAAGCTCTCTGGGAATGGAATGACTCATGCTTGAAGTATCTCATTGAAAATTGTTTTTATTCTTCTTAAAGCAATGTCACACTTTTGGGACTTCTTTGTTTATCCATTATTTATTCTTTTATATTTCATTTATAAACTGAATTTAAGCAACATATCCAACACATTAGAATTTAAAGAGGCAGAGAATAAGGGCTCTATGAAATATAGAGCTTTACTTCTGAATGTAACATCCCTAACAACAATCTCCTCTGTTCTGAAAAATGTAAGAACCAAGGAATAGTAGGCATTTAACAAACTGTTGTTGAATTAATTTTGACAAATAGCATTATAGACAAGCAACCTTTTTCACTCTCTATTGAGACAATTTGAGATAGATGTACCAACTTTTATATGAATGAACATTTTATATGAATGAATATATTCCCATATATTTCTATTTTATATAAATACTAGAGGCCTGGTGCATGACATTCATGCACTAGGGGGTGGGAGAGGGTGGTCCCTCAGTCTGGCCTGTGCCTTTTCACAATCTGGGAGCCCTCGGGGGTGTCCAGCAGTCGGACATCCTTAGCGCTGCAGCAGAGGTGGGAGAGGCTCCCTGGCTTCTGGCTGAGCAGTGGTCCCCCTGTGAGAGCACATTTACCACCAGGGGCAGCTCCTGCTTTGAGCGTCTGCCCATTGGTGGTCGTTCTGCCAGTTTATTTGCATATCACCCTTTTATTATATAGGATATTTTTGCATACATTTCTTTTCTATATAAAGTATTTCCACTTAGTGAACCAATTTTTTAACCTATGTAAATAACAATAGTACTTGCAAAGAACCTCAAGATCTCTGGAGGAATATCTAGATTAAGATTATCCACAATAACATCTAAATACTGAAGGATGTCTACTCAATACAATTTTTCTCATTTAGCACATACTCATATTAAGGTTTTCTTTTCTGTTTTTATTTTGTTTCTTAATGTTGCCTTAGAAGAATTCAACCTTATTCTCAAAATCAAGTATAATATATTTCAGCAACAAAGTAAAAAAGAAACCTTAACTCCAATTTATACCACCCTCACTACTCTACCTTCCCGATGAAGGGTCTCTTGCCAGTTGCACACTAGGAACTCCTATGTACAAGGATCTTATGAATTACAGTTTGACTGGAGACATGTGGGATGGCTTAGAACCAGGTGGAGATGTTGGCTTGAAGCTGAGAGCACTCAGTGGGTGACAGGTTTACTCGGGAGAGGGCCTGGTGTTGGCAGAGATCCTAGGGCCAGTAAAGCTCCCCAACAAGTTCCTAGCAGCTCCACTGCCCCCCAGTAAAGGTACGTAGCCTAAGGCTCAGTGTAATCAACAGAAAACTGCTTTCTTCACGTTTGGCTTTATCTTACATATCTGTTTAAGGTTGTCTTTCTTGTGAGGAGGTATATTTTGGAGAACATTTGCACAGTTCCTCATGAAAATTTCTCCAAAATGTGATAAAAATATATTCAATGCTTCTGGTCACATACAGTTATACACAATGATAAATGGATTAAAAATTATTTAAAAATGTATGGAGGGAGAGAGCAAGAGACACAACAAGAGCTAGAGAACTGGTTCCATTGCTTTGCCCTACGGTCAGAAAAAGATGAATTTGAGCATAGACCTAGAGACAAAAAATTCCTTTACCCTATATTTTCGAATTATGCTTTTTCCTCCTTATTATCTTTTTTGCCTTTTGTGAGGAGCAGGGATTGCATGTGGCCAAGAGCATTTAAGTTTGTGCAATTCAGCAGTTCTGAAGCTCGATTTACAAACAGCTATGGTTGCCTCATGAAAGGTAATAGGTAGCACCAAGTTTTGGGTTTATTTGCTTTGCTTTTATGCTTAGGCAAGTCACTTAGACACGCTTAGGCAAGAATGAAATACTTTGTAAACAATAAGAATTGTCATATTCTTCATTGTGTTAGGCATATGCAGCCATCCTATTCCAATAAATCTTTTGCTTTGCAATTTGACATATTTGTTATTCGGTTTATTTAAGAGGAGGATAAAATTGGTAAGTCTCTCAGATGAAATTAGACTTTTTAGACCCACCATACATCCCAGCCAGAAGGAGCAGTGTTTAGCAGGACTCCAAGCATTCAGTGATCTCGTTCTATGATCGAATGGCAATTCCACTGTTATAGTTTCTCAGGCCAAAAGCTTTGGGGCCATCTCTATCTCCATCTTTTTCCTCACATCATATATTTAATCCATCAATAAATCCTACTGGATCGAGTTTGAAAATATGACATTTCTCACAGCTACCTTATTCCCAGCCAACATCATTTCTCATCTGGATAATGGTTATGGCAACCTTACAGGTCTCCCGGCCCTGCCCTTGCCTCCCTCTAATCTAGTCTCAGCAGGGTAGCCAGGGCGAACCCTTTGAACACAAATCAGATCATGGCACTCCTGTGCTCCTAGCTTTCCAGCTCATATGGATTAAAAACCCAAATCTTTATTGTGGCCTCCAAGGCACTGCATAATCTCATCCCTTTGCTCCTGATCTCTCAGACCTCATTCCCTCATTCTGGTCCGCTCACGTTACTTCAGCACATTGGCCCCGTTGCTTGGCTCTCACATACAAATGCTCTGGCCTCTGGGCCTTTGTACTGGCTGCTTTCCAGAAAGTTGTGCCCCTAGATATTCATAGGCTCATTTTAAATTTGATTTAAAATTGTAGACTATCCCCTGCAACTCTCTCTACTCCTCATTTTTCTCCAGAGCACTGTACCCACCTGACACACTACAGTTACTTGTTCATCTTGTTTATCATTTATCCTCCCCTCTTCCACTAGCATGTAAAGGCAGGTCTGTCCCCTTTCCCCCCACATTATCTAGAACAGTACCAGTACATAGCAGACACTCAACATTTATTGTATAAATTGGTGAATCAAGAGGACATGGGAGGGATGAGTGAGGAGGACTGGATGGGAGGTTTTTCCTATTATTTTGCACAACCTGCTGCCATGCCTTCCTCGGCAGGTGAGTATGGAGATGCAGGGATGGAGGTAAGTGAAGACCAGGTCTCGGACAATTCTGACACCAAAGCAGAGAGCTAGCTACTCCAGAATAGCTGTTTCTTCCTCCAACTGAGTCTCGCTTCCTAGGCATCATTTGTTTTCCTTGCTGCTGGTCAAGCCCAAAAGTCCTGTCTCAGATTTTCTTTAAAAGGAGAGAGGGACTGAAATTGGGAATGTGAAAAGGATACATCCACACTGATGAGAAGGGATTTTAGAGAGTGTTCCCAAGACAGGGTGGAGGTAAGTGAAAGAAGCCAGGAGAAACTAGGATGCCCTTTCTGCAGGTGAACCCACTTCACTTAGGCTTGGGTAAGTGTCTGACAGAGTGGGCTACAGAAAGAAACAAACTTCCATTGTGCTTCGGGATTTGCCAAGCATTTATACATTGAGGGTGTCCATATGACAGTGATGAGAAAAGAGGAAACATTCCAATGGGCACACAAGGTTGAAAGCTTCTTCAATGGCAAATGATAAGGAAATCTGGGAAGTGGTTAAACACTGAAGGGTAACACAGGGCTACCAGAATGGCATTAACTCCCCAGAGTCTTACATTTCCCCACACTGACAGATCGTAGCTACTGCCAACTGCTCAGAACAAGACTGTCCTAGGCGAGAGGCCTTCTTTGCCATTCTCACAGGGATCTGACACCCTCCCAGGTTCCCCTTTCATCTATATTTTGAGAAGCCAGGCTAGAATTCAGCCTGATCACAAGGAAAAGCAAATAGTGACAAATCAGCTCAGTCCAATCCTGAGAACTGGCCATGAGAGTGGGCGAAGAGATGGTTATTTCTTCAGGCACATCCCTCAGCAGGTCCAGGCTTCAGCCTGTCTGAGGTCTACACTTGCACAGACATTATTTCTTTAACCCTAAGACTTGCCCACAAAGTAGTTATGATTATCATGAAAGGTAGTCACCTATTCTATTAGATTAGCTCAGAGAGGTTGTGACTTGTCAAGGTCAGAAACCGCATCAGTCTAATGTTGTAGCTTAAGCACATTATCAGACCCTCCAGAAATTCCTCTGGGTTTTTGTACATATGGCTGTCCCTTCAGTCTCTTAGTAAAATTCCTTTCATAAATATTAGTTTTGCCATGCTGAGTTTCGGGACTTCTTTTTCTCCTTAATGTCACTCAAGATATTGAAGGGCAAGTGTTGACCTTTCAAACAAGACAGCATAAGGGCAGGCAAATCTGACAGGACAGCTAGGCAGATGGCAGGTGGCTACTGCTTTCAGGGACAAATAGGAGCAGTGTCCAATGATATGTATTTGTCCTGCATGGTTGGGAGGTCCCTAGTCACTGAAAGATTCCTTAACTCCATGCATTTATTGGCAAACATTCATTAACAGGTAAGTTCTATCTCCAAGTTGCTCTGAAAGCTAGTGTCAATCATTTCTATGATATCGTGATTTTCAAGCAAAAATTCAGAAATGTATTTTGTAACTGAACCCCCAATGTTTTCAAGGTAAACAACAAGAACAACAACACAGCATCAGCAAAAACAAAACAAAACAAAAAACCTGATAAGCTGATATCTGATTTCGGATGAGCTCTAGACAACCTTTTTAAAATTATAAGCATTTTAAAATTCTTCCATCACACTATAGGGTTCCCTTTACTTCTGTGCCAATTACCCGGAGACATAAGTGAACGTGGAGAATAGAACAATGAATTTTTTTGGTTTATTTTATTCTGCAAATTGAGACCATGTTCCCTGGAAAGGAAAGTAGGCCTTTGAGTCTAAATAATGAAAAAACTCACTACACAGCCAAGCGCTCAATGTTGCCCAGACCGGATCACTGAAATTGATCTCCACAGAACAGGGGAAGTCCAATGACAAGGACCTTGACCCCAGTGCCCCTAAGTGGACTTTTTTCTTTTAAGCTAAGACCTCAATTCCTTTCAGCATTTCTTCAACAACAGCTAGTTTCTCTTTACCCATAGCTCCTCGGCCCAATGTGGGAAGGGGCTAGTCCACTGGGTATTCCTTCCCCCTCTCAGGAGCCCTGGGCCTTCCTCCTTTCTGACCTCCAGAAGGTTACA